CCAATTTCCTTTAATTTCAAAGTTTGACTTATGCTTGTACAAATATAGTATCAGGTTTATGAATAGGACCACAGTACTACATATTTGCGTACTGGCTTCTTGAAAGCTCTGCTCTCCTTTCATTGAATTTTTATTTGCATAAAGAGTCGTTTTTAAAGAATTAGTACCAGTTATTTGTGATTGTACATTTACTATTTTGTCATCTGAAAATAAAACATTTCAGTACTAAAGGTAATGAAAATATATCATGAGTATAATGTTTATGTCGGTTGGACCTTGCAGGAAGAAATAGCTACAGATTTTAATAGAAGCTTATGGCTTTAATCTTAATGGCTGAGAAAGTAAATGACACATTTCTTATTAATTATTCTTACTTTTTGGGTAATATACATATTTAGCTTCCTTGAGGGAATATTTAATTGACTAATCTGAATTATGTGTTTTAATTTGATTGTTAAAATAGCTTAAATTTAACTGCTTGTATCAATGTAATATTAAAATATTAGCTGCTTTTTACTGAAAATTCTCTAAATGTAAGATGTCTAAAAATAGAGTCGAGGTGGATTGGACAGTCTGCAGATTAGGAGCTGGAATAAAAACATCTCCGTTAAGCCAAAAACATGGCAACCAATATTTTCTGTTACAAAAATATTTTAGATGAGTTTGGTTTTTATGAAAGCTGTCTGAAACTGAAATGAATAGCAGAAGTTCTCTGTTTATGCACAGGCCAGTAATAATACCTGCAGCACAAAGCATACGTCTTTTCCCTGCAGACCCAACAGCTTCTGCTCTGTTTAGAAGCCGGTTCTACCAAATGGGGTGGGGAGAGATTATTACCCTGTTATGTTTGAGGTATTAACCTTCACCTTGATAATGCTTGTCAAAGAACACACCACCAGGCAGAGCCTTTTTAGGAAACGGATTTTAACTGTCCACTAGAGGCTGTAATGAGACCAACAATGTCACCTTACACCAACTCAATGTTTAAAACTGTAACAATCGCTGATTTTTAAATGAAAAAAAAGTTGTAGAAATGAGTAAGAGTGAACAGTAGTAGTTCTATTTAAACAACCATGTATATGTACATGGTATTTCAAAATGTGAGAAGAAAGTTATTTCCAGGGCTCTACACCTTCCTAGTTAGTATGCTTATTTTTTATTTCTGTAGCACGTTGGCTCTACAATACAGTTGTTCAAAAGCTGACACATTTCTCTTAGTGATTCTGTATCCTGCTTCGGTTGGTGACTAACCGTTAGGTCATAAGTAAACTTAGCCAAAAGGTTTCTCAAATACAGCTTACAGTCAGTAGTAGTGGCTTCCAGAGAGAAACTTACATAGAGGGATCGTGTTTCTAGACACTTGGTTCTAAGCACCTGAAGGAGGTCAAACGCTGCTCAGACACCTACAGGTCTTCCAGAATTACCTGCGGCAAGGGGAACGCCGCAGTGAGCTCCCTTTCGCATGGATGTGCCTTTTCTTCCTCCAGGTGCCACACCTGTTGGCAAGGGGCACCTCTCGAAAGATTCCTTCCCGACGAGCTAACACCTGGCGGTGATACGTGCGGTGTGTGTGTGTGGCGCGCGCGAGGTGGGGGGTGGGGGGCGGTGAGGTGGGGGTGAGAACCGCACTTAAAAACTGGGTCCAGAGTAAGTTCTTCAGCCTGGAATCACGAGAACTGCCATTTGATGCTCGGTTTGCTTTCTCTATCTCCTACACGGGTTACCTCATTTCCGATTAAATTAATGATCCCGAATTAGCTGCGAGAGGAGTGCGCAGGTCGTCTACCAGGGCTAGAGCTGGGTAGAGGGCAGGGAGGTCACCAGCCGTCCCAGGCAGTAAACGTTAGGGTGCACGTGCAGTAGGGGTCCCTTAAAACTTTCCAGAGTTGCACGCAAAGGCACTCCCGGTGCCCTGGTGGTCTGGGTTCCGGAACGCCGAAGCTAAACCGGTTTGAGGATTAACGTGGAGGATGATCGCAGTCAGCCCTCTTGGACGCTTTTCGGCGCGCCCGAATCGAAGGGCACGTAGGGATCAGAACGGGCTCGCCTCCTCTCCCCCTGGAGTATTTCGTTCGCTCTGAGCTGGAGGTTACTCCAGGGTGCCTGAGTTGCACCCCGCTGTCGCTCTGTCCCTTCCAACTAGGTGCAGGGACCCAGGGAGGGCAGCGAGGACCCACCAGTCACCGCTACAATTACCTCATCGCCTCGGTTCCCCGCCCCTTTCCCAAACCTGGAAGAACTGTCCCCTCTGACCCATGTCTCCCCTCCCGCTCCCCGCCCGCCCAACCCCCCCTCCCGATCCCGATCCAGTCTT